CATCTGTATTTCTTTCTGCCACTGGTAACTCATTTTTGTTTGTGCTCCAACCTTGGGATGCTGTTTTACACATGTATGCAGGTATAACTTTGTCCCAGGGGGATAGCACCATTGATTTCAAGGATGCTGTGTGATTATATAAGGTTTTTGTTTGTATCTGTGTCTGCAAGAGAGAAAGATAAGTTTAGAACTTCTGTAGGTGTTGTGCCTCATCTTGCTTTCGTGTAGCTGTTTCATGAACGTTTCATCTCTGATAAAGTGTTTTTTATTGACCACTGAAAGTGATTGCTGGGTAGGGCACTGGTCTTTTTCTTCCTCAACTTGTTGAGTTGCCTCAAAATGGCAACTCCATTCAAACCAAAAGCTTCTCCCTGGAGTAAACATTGTGTGAAAACAGCATCACTCTTTCCCCATTGACTCTTCAATTTTGTTTCTAAAGGATTTTGAATTGAAATTAGTGATTAGTTTTGCACTGAGACATCAAGTGAATTCCGAGATCAGCTGAGGGTTTCCGCTTTTCATTAGCCCTTCAAGTTTAAGTGTTTGCAAAACTCCCCCCAAAGTTCAGCTGACTCTGGAGCCTGTGATAAAACCCCAACAGGAGAAAGGTTTTCAGAGTTGATGTACACAGTTTGTGGAGACAAAAGTAATATTCAAGTATCATAGTACCTACAAAGACCAACTGCAGTGCTGATTGGTAAAGGTAAGCAACTGTATGGACCTGTCACAGGACCAATGTTGTTTACTCACACCTTTTACTGATTTAGAAGAGAAAAAAAAAGATGAAACTCCTATTGACTTTCATCTGATGGAGATGGAGGACAGATTGGCCTTCAGTTGTTTGAGCATTTTTACCCACATGCAGTCTAACTGACCCCAGCTGTAATTCCACTGTCCATGGAGCAGTAGCAGTGATTTATCCATGTAGGTGCCGATTTGCTGTAAGTAAAGAAATGCTCCTAATATAAAAGGGAAAGTCAGTGACCCTGACTAACAGGGTAAGTGTGACCCTGTCACATTCCTTGCCCTATCTGTGATCTGCAAAGGCTGAGAGGAAGTGCTAAATGCTTTTTCAAATTATTTTTTTTAATTCTCTCTAGTGTAGGAAATGGAGAAATATGTCCCTGCATACCTTTTGGAATGTGGATTATGTCTCCCTTGACCCGTGTTAATAAAAACACCAGCATCTTGAGGGGTGGAGGAATGAAAATTGCAGATCTTTTCAGTTTGCCTTTCCCAGCTGGTCTTTCTTCCCTCACTGACCATAGTGAAATGATGTGGTACAGGCATTAACAAAGAATGTTAAAGCATGCAAAAAAGATTATACTTGTTCTATCCTGGTATTTAATTTCCTTTTCTTAATTACTGAAAAGGAAAATGTTATATATTTCTGTCTACTTTTGATGTGTAGTACTACAGCCAGTGAATGCAAAACCATGGCAGAAATTTGGTGCCTGAAGTTCAGAATTTGCTATTACCTGCAGGTCCGGGTCATGTGAATGAAAGCTGCAGGTATTTAGTACTTCTGAATGTCAAATTTCTTTCCCTTTCAGGCTGATATTGATAGTTTGACATATTTCATGTTCCTGTATGTATGCGTGTGCAAATGTGGTTGCCTATATAGATTTTATATCTATCTATATATACATGGAACTTTTACCCAGTTCATTATTTATGTGTACTACCTGATGTAATGGGATTGTGTTCTTCTGTCCAATTAAGTGATTATATCTTGACCTTTTTTTCTCCTTCTAAAATTTTTTTATATTTTTTGAGTGTATGTGTTTATTTTTAGCCTATCTTCCTTGCTGTGAGCACAGTTTCAAGGTGCTGAGGATGTTGGCCACTTTATAGTTCTCATTCCCCAGAATGTAAACCGAGAGCCATTGCCCGATTACATTTCTTGGACTGTTTGATGAACCTGATTGAGTTTTGAAGGGGTGGCTTGGCTTTGTTTTCTTGTTTCTGGTGGGTGACAACAGTTCCTCAGTTAGGTATTTCCACTTGGTGGCCGGGCTGCTCAGCGTGCAGCAGGGGCTGGAGGGGGATGGCGCGGGGTGGCAGCCGGGCTGTGCCAGCCCCACAGCGGGCTGCCCGCACCCCACGGAGTTACACGCTCCAGCAGCACACGGGGCCTGGGAGCTCCCCTGTGAGCGGGGAGATTCCCCCTTCTTTCCTCACTGCAAGTGGACCTGATTGATTCCAGATGTGCGCAGACTTAATGACTCCGAAGGCTGCTCTCTTAAAACGGGATTTACGGCACAATCTCATATAACCTTTCAGGGGAAGACCTGAACTCATCTGTCGGGCGAAAACCAGAGAGGTTTTTCAGAGTTTATTAGTGTGTGAATTTTGTGTAGGAGCAACTACAGTGTGCACACAGAAAGTTGGTTTTCTTTCTCTGCTGAGATGTTATAAACATCATTTTAGTAGGATGCACTTTCAGCAGAGGAGTGATAGCTTTAAAAATTAGTTACACAACTCAATGGTGTTTATTTTGACTTCTTTTTGGGGGGGTCAGTTTTAAATAGGATTTCATTTTGTGTATTTTTTATTATTCTATAGGAATGAGAGTATTTTCAGTTGTCTTGACTTTATGTTAAATCTCAAAGTGTTGCTACTACCAATTCAGAGAGGATTTTGTACTGTGTATTGCATTTAGTATCAACCCTGTGTAAGATAAATATCTTGTAATGTTCCTTTGCTTACTGAAGTGATTCTTCCAGATTTTGCTAATGGGTTTGATAGATGCTGATTAAGTTTTGAATTGATTGCAAGAAGTGAAGTTAAAAGTTCATGAGAAATAGTTCATAGTAATAAATGGTTGTTTTATTTCTATACTTCCAAATATGCACTTCTGATTATTAGAAAATCCCAGCAGATTGTTTTGTATCTTTTCAAGAGTAAACACTGAAGTTGGGGCCAAAAGGCTAAATGCTTCCAAGTACTCTCCTATAGTTTTGCCATTAATTTGGTACATAAGGAGCAGCAACTCAAATTATTTGGACCTCTCGAACTAGTTTTGAAGTGGATCCTGCACTGTGTACGCTTTTGCAAATGTTTATTTGCACTGATCGTTGACTATAACAATAAATCCTGATGTTTAGAAAGCAAGGCATCCAATTATTGGTAGAATTTCTTGGTGTCTGCAGTTGATTGTAAGTGTGAAAAAGCAGGCACATTTTCTGGAGGCTTGTATTTGCCTCATAAGAAGCTGTCATTGAGCTGTAAGCCATAATTTTGGGCTTAATAAATGAAGATCATCATAAATGAAGTAAGTACAGGAAATAAATATGCTATAAATATCATCTCTGTTACATGGAAAAGTTAAACTCACAATCCACAGCCATCAGCTTTAAAGCCTGAGGCCAGACCATCTTGCTCTGCACTTCCCCCGCCAAAGCCCCCGGCTGCTTCACTACGTGCCCAGGGCTGGAAACTCCTTGGCAAAGGCAGGGAGACAGAGCCCAGCGAGCTCTGCCTTTGGAGGTCTCAAATGGCCGTGGTTGGCAGAAGATGCTGAAGGGTTTATGAGCACTGTGTTCTCAGAAACCCCACTTTTACACAGATGTTCTGGCTGCAGTGCCCTGAGCAAGGCTGATAGAGGAGGGCTGGCAGCAGTAGAGGGACAGGCTGCCTTTAAAGACAGCTCTCACCCTGCACCCCTGCCATTTCCAGGGAGCTGCTGATATGCAGAGGAGCAGCATGTCCCCAGCACAGCCATTCCTTCACAGAAACTGGTCAAAGGAAAGGTGGCTTGGTTGGCTACTGATTTCTCCATACTACTGCATGCTGCTGTGTGCGCACGCCTTGTGCAGCAGTGTCTGGCAGGGGGGGTGGTGTGAGGGTATGTGTCCTCAGAGCATCCTTCTGACTGGCAGGCTGTCTGTGCCCCAGAGGAAATAATTTGGAGCATCTCTTTGCTGTGTGGCTGGAGGTCTCTGCCCTTTTCTGATCAGCTACTCTGTTTTTCCCTGTGACACTGTTTCCGTTTCTTGGGGATCTGTGAATCGTCTTAGATTCCAGTTACCATAACTGTAGCCAGTTTGGTGATATTTTGGCTATTTTTGCTTATTTTTACATTTATATCTAGTATATTTCAGACCATCTTTTACTGTGGTTTTACTTCCTAGCCCTGCAGATCTGTGCATTGATATTATGTTTTTCTGTGATATATCTTTAGCCCTCATTCTTCCTTATTAGCGTACTTTCTGGATGGACTAGTATGATTAAATGTATACCAAATATCAAATAATAAATGTATGTGTATAAATATTTATATTGGCCTCTATGTGTGCATGTCTGTGTTTATGTGTTCATAGTCTGTGATGCCTTATTACAATAGTGTATTAATTCATGATGCATAGCTATTTTTTTAATTCAACTGTTCCCTTGGTATTCCATTTCTAGAGGATGACTCCACTGTGTTAGGTCCAGCATAAACACCCAAGGAAAGATTTGTCACATTCAGCGGATGGTGTTTATAATTTTCATACATTTTTCCACTTACACCTGTTTCTGGATTTTATTTGACACTCTTCTGTTTTTTCTATTTGTAGCATAACTCTAACAAGATTTTCAGAAAGTTGCTAGAGTGTTAGAATAAGTTTGAATTATTAGGAGACAGCCTGTGTATTTGAATGTGGGCGCAATAGCTTGCGTTTGTTGCATTCCCCTGTCCAATCACTTTACAATCTTCAACTATTTTTTTCTCAATAAAATCATATTAACAATAAGTTGCGTGAAACAGTTTCACATGAGGATCGTGGGGTTTCCTTACAGTTACAAAAAGCAGTGTTAGAGCCAGGGCTCAGGAGCTGCTCATTCCCAGGATGGCCCCCCCAGCACTGCATTGGCCATTTAGCGGAATCCTGAATTACCGAGAGCTGACCTTTTCAGCAGTAAAGCTCCTGCCTGCTTTATTCCATGGCAGGAATACAGAAGGACCAGAGTGTGAAAGTTCCTCAGAGTTAAACTGATGTAATTGTTTCTGCCTACAGTGTCGATGACAGAACTGCTTACCTGGCGCTGGGAGCGGTGAGGAACATCTCACTTAACATTTCCATCTCTAACGTTGGGGATGATGCCTATGACACCAATGTGTTCTTCAATTTTTCTGGGGAGCTCTTCTTCATCAAAATGTGGCAAAAGGTAAGAAAGGCCCATCTTGCCGTCAGCAAGTCTTTTAACTTCAAATCAATTTAGTTGCAAAGCACAGGGACAGGGGTTGGCCTGGTCCTCACTGCTGAGGCACTTGGAAGTTATTTCTGGTTATGCTGAGCATCAATTCCTTCCAGGCTCCTTACTGAGGTGTGTTTTTTTTTTTCTTTTGTGAGTTTGATCTGTGGGAATTACACTCTTTGTGTTTCTGTAGAATACAGCACTGTTATTTGGGGTGCACTAATGAAAAAGAAAGACCGTTTAGTTGAAGTATTAAGGGTTAGAGGCAGACTGGTAGGATACCAAATGACACTGAAATACAAAGGGTGTCTCTAGTTTGAGTGGTGCCACACTGCACTCAGCAGTCCTGGTTAACTTCTACCTGGCTTTCCAGGTTTTGTCCTCCTTGAAACCAAGTTACAAGGCCATTCTTTGCTCACGTCCTGGTGCAAGTTTGGGTAGTGGCCAGGGCATATCACTAGATCCAAGATCTCAAAAGTGCTTCTGGTTTCACCTGCGTGCAATTAGGTGAATATTTTGAGCTTTAGTCTCTTCACATTTTGATTTAAATACTTGGATGTTTTCAATAGCAGAAATTCATTTAGAGGTAATGTTGAAATGCAAACACCGAAATGAGCTTTTTACAAACTGATGGCCATGAAAGCTGTCTGAATAACGTGAAAATAATTGTGCAAAATGGGAGCTGACAATCGTAACAACATTGTCTGTCTGTTCCTGCTTTTCACAGTCATTTGTGTCTCTGCTGGAGCTTTGCTTTTCTTTGCAATCCATAAGGGCAATTTAAAAGCCATAGTGCAACTGTTGCTAAGTATGGGATTAACTCAGTCCACTGAACCAATGACATTTTGCCATTATTTGTCAAGTTTTATTATAGATTTTGGTTATTATAAACCTCTTAACTCATTATGTAATAAGCCAAAATATGATAATTTCTTATACATGTTAATTCTCTTGGTACTTAGTTCTACTATGTTTAATACAGTTGCAGGCCTCAGAAAGTTGTCTTTGTATTATAAGCTTCATTTTCAGACATTATGTGGTGCAAGTGTGCAGTTTATCAGGAGGAGAAAAGCAGGGGATAGAATGGAAATGCCCTAATGCCAGTACACGACTTCTTAATGAAAGTTTATGTGAAGACTTTCAGGGTCTGGCCCAGCTCCCATTGAAGTCACTGGGAGGATTTTCATTCCTTTGCGCTGGAAAAGAAACAAAGCCTGATACATGTTCTTTTTAAAGCTTGTTGTGTTTTTTTGTTTGGTTTGGTTGTGGGTTTTTTTGCCTTCTGTGCTTCCATGTTGAATATTTTACACACACAAATTAATTGTGTGAATTGGAACACCAGTGGCCTTCATTGTTCTTCTTGGCCAATGCTGTGAGGGAACAAGCTGAAGAAAACATGCTGTCTCCCTTGCTATTTTACCTTGAGCCTAGGTCTATAGTAGACTTTAAATATCTGTGCTGAAAGCTGCCTAGAAGGAGCAGTTTCTGGAAGCAGATGACATTATTGCAGGGTTATCTCACTACTCAGTCTGTCTTCTGCTAATAGAAACTAACATTTCTTTAAAATAAATAAAATGCAGCATACATCAAGGAAGCATGTAGGCCTCCTTCTTCCTCAGGTCTTGCCAACAGGATCAGGATATAGTCCGCTATTATTCCTGCTCTTCCGCTGTTCTTGTGATTGATTCATTTGGGTTTTTCTCCTGATAATTGGTTTAGTAACAGTTTTGAAAAAATGAGTTGCAATGTTGTGTTGGGCTATTTTACTTTTTACTGTTTGCTCTCAGTCAGCTTTTGCTTCAGGACAAACTAATGCACTGCTGGCCTCACCATTTGTCCAGTTGGAAAAATGGATTACAACCTCATAGCCTCAATTACAGTGCTTTGTTTTTCTTAAGCTCTTTGAACAATGTTTATTTTTTTTGTAAAATATCATGGATTCCATGTTTCATAACCCACTCCCATCCCTTGACATCTATGCATAATATGTACTGTGCATATTCTTTAAGTAGATTTTGTTCCTGGTTGAACATTGCCTAGGCAAAAGTCCAGAGCATAAAGCCAGAGTAAAAAGAATGACTCTGAAAATTTCCCTTAGTGGAGCAATTTTGGAGTCAAAAGAGCTTCTGGTAGGAAACTTTCAGCAGCAACTGCCTTTTAATGAATAACGCTGAAGTGGAAGAGAACGATCTCTTCCATGTGGTTGCTTGCTCCTTTTTGGCAAGGTGAGTCTGAGAACGATGACCATGGGGTGGGCTTTTGTAACCTATCTCTGGAGCCCTTTCAGGATACTGTGAATCCCCTGTTTGTTTTCCATGTGTCCCCAGTGGGGACATTTCTAGCAGATTCAATGTGGTTTTGTTTCTTTCTATGGTTTGGTTACAATGAGACCTGACAGCGCAAAAGTTTAATGCTGTTTTTCTTCAACAACAAAATGCCACAGCTTGTGTTTGAAAAGAAACGAATGGCTTAGCTCAGGAATGATGATGAAGAGCATTAGTGGAGCTAACCACTCTTTCCTTTCTGGAGACTGAGATTTCATGAGATGTGGTGGATAGACTACCTGGAAGAGCTTTGTCACTTCTATACAAGGTCAAAAAGCATTTTCCGACTGATATTTAAGGGATTCCACATATTCCACTGTCTTACTTTCCTGATGCGCTGCAGCCAGTCCTCCCTGGCTTCATGGATGAATCCCAACATTTTCTTTCCATAGCTCCTGACAGACAGTCTTTCTCTTGAGATGCACAATATGTGGAATGGGCTGATTTCTCATTCCTGCCTGTGCTCCCTCTAGCACTTTTAACTCTCTTGTCACTGCACCCCATTGAAGGGGCGAGTTGTTTTACAGGTGCATGGGAGTACTGGTCTGCAGTGAATTTTATGTGTCCACTAAGAAAAATTTTCCTTTTGAAGTATGAAGAGATTTAATCATGTTCCTTTTAAAACAGAAAATAAAGAAGAAAATAAAATAGAGGGAGGGAGAAAGACACCTCACGTGGTCACTTAGAAAGATTTTCTTTTCTATGGTGACAAAGGAATCTTGGTCCCCTTTTCTGTATAGAATAGATTGTTTTATTTTATTTTTAATCTTAAAGTTTGTTGTCCTATAATCTTAAGTCAACTTCAGGAAAGCATCCTATTTCAGAGCCTGAAAAATCCACTTAACAGAGGCGATACCACTTTCCTACAGAAAAATGCAGAGTGCTGCTTGTGTGCTACGGAGTCTGGAAAAAGAATAAAAAGCTATCACTACTAATTTCTACACTGTTTTCCATCTGCCGGAATTGCCTACTGGCTTGTGCTGTTCTGCTGAAGATGCTTGTCAGTGGTAGGCACTTTGGTAACCATTCGTTAGCTGCTGGTCAGCACTGAGGGCTATTTTCAGTACAATTGCAGAGAAGGTGCTGTAAGCTGGCAGTGGCATTAAATGTGGTAGGGCTGGGCCATATCTGTACTAAATCAGCTCGGGCATGGCATGAGATTTTATAGCAGTTGTATAAAAATAGCATATAATAAAAACAACAGCATTAATCCCTCACTGCTCTGTAAGGGCTGGTGGGAATCTATCAGCACTGGTTACAGAGAGAGTAGGTCAGGAAATCCCATTGCTGACCATCATTTCCAGCTGGGGGTTGTTCCTAAGTTTCAGACAGGCTCCCAGCATCCGAGGCCAGCTGTGTGCGACGTTCCTGCTGCTTCTTACAGTAGCTTTCGCAAGCAGCAGCTGAGTGAAGTTAGCGGGGCTGGGTGGATGGTTTTCAGTGAGGTTATGGTTTCTTCAGGCACAGTAATTTCCTGTGAATCCTTCATGAGTGTATACCTGACACTTTGGTGTTGAGTAGGAATATTGCTGATAACCAGAGTCATGCTGCTTACAGGGTCTGGGGCTTCTCTTCTGATGAGTAATGAGGTACCGTCTCTTTCTGGGTTAGCAGGGAGGTCACACAGTTTGGATGTGAGCTCTTTCTTCCTCACTCCCAGAGGGCTTGCCAGCATCTCTTGACTAGGATTGCCCAGAAGAGCTGCAGACATAGGCAGAATTTAACTTTTTCCAGATTGGAAATTCTCTTACAGTGGTTTCCCATACTGCTCATACTTTCTAAGAGTCTTCAAGGCTGGTAGGGGCAGGATGCTGATAGGGCATGAAAGCCAAAGACACGTGCCCTCTTTTGGTTCCAGCTGTACACCTGGAAGAAAATTTAGGTCCTGGCTATTCATTATGTCTTTTTTTCCAGTACTTACTGCCCCTTTGGATCCACAGGCAGACAAGTTAACATGATCAGTCTCAATTCACATCCAGCTGGTTAGCAGAAACCTTTCAAATTAAGGGTTTGATTTAATCCAGCTGATTTTGCATGGAGTGAGTTGGACTTGCTCCTGTAAACCTATCTGCCAGAGGGTCAGAGGGGAGTGATGCCAAGCAGAGTGGAAGCTGTGACCCCTTGCATTGACACAGGTGCATCTGGAAGATTGCCCAAGCCATATATCACTTATGTAAGAGAATTTGACACCTTTTGCCAATAGAGGTTTTATAACCAGGGCTTGGGAATTTGAGTAGCATGGCATACCTTGCCACATGGTGCCTCTCTGTTTTTCTGAATCTAATGCTTAACTTTGGCTCCAGAGTGCATCAAAACGTTTTGCATCCCTGGAGCAAAATTGTCCAGTTTCTTAATTGGAAAGAAAAAAAAAAAGTGCAAAAAAGTGCAGTTAAAGCTATCTGACTTCATTGTTTATTTTCATTTTCTTTTTCTGTGGATGCTCAATGAAAACCTCAACTTTTATGCTTCCCTAGGGATAAGTAAGGAGCAGCACCTTTTTCAGGCCAGGGGCTGTTAGAGCCGTCTAATATCCCCCTGCTCTTAGCAGGTAGGAATTGAAGGGTGGACTTCTGATTCAGACTTTCCACTTGGGAATCATGTATCACTCCCACATTCAGGGAATGGGCATTGGAGACTGGGTTTAGT